GAAATTTTATAACAAATGGTTTTATGATTTTTTTTTTATCCCACAAGTGATTTTGTTATATAAGTTATGATTTTTGTTGTTAGATCCACATGCATGTCCAAAATACTCTTAAAAATCTAAAGTGGTATGGATTTTAAGGAGTCATTTTTTATCACTGCTAAATATGTTATTCACTTCGTTTTAAAATATAAGATGTTTTGGAGGTTTTTTTTTGTTTCAAAATATAAGTTATTTTGACAATCCTAGGTATTTTTTACTTTCCTAAATATTGTGCGACCAATATTATTCTGCAGTCTCATTTATAATTGGTTAAATTATTTTTATCTTATATTAAATGATACTTTTTGAAAGAAAAATAATTTTTTAAACTTCGCACTTTTAGCCAAAATATCTTACATTTTGAAATGGAGGGGATAATATTTAAAGAGATTCGTTTGAGATATGTATACGATGAATAAACTAATGAAACACACATTGACTTCTATATTAGACACGCTTGGAGCATTTCCAACCCAATACTATTTCTTTGCAAAATTTCATTTCGATGTAAAATCCACTCCAACCTAATACCATTTTCAACACCAAAAGGGTGTAAACTCATTTTTTACACCATATTTGGTTCTTCCAAGATCACGATGTTAGATCGTTTTGCTAAATCGTACAATACACATTTGTGTGTTTCCAAGTTTTTCACTTAGATTTCGCCTACCTTGTGGAGAACCAGTCCGCCAAAGAGTACTCGTCACTGGTCGGAAGATTACTGGAGCTTCTCAACGAGAACTTATGGAAATGAAAATCATCTAGGGTTAAAAACAATGTAAATGAGACAATAATATACAAATTACACAATATAACACATTGACGAAATAGAAAAAACCGGTTATTAGTCATCATCATGGTAGAGATCATCCTCTAGTATAACCAAGAGAGCTTTAAGGTATGACTTAAAGCATAAAAGTTTTTTTACGCTTCTTAGCAGCAGCTGCAACTGATAAACTAAAGTTTTTTTATGTTGTCTCCATATTAACATTTGATTTATGTTGTTATCATTTATTAATGATCACCTATACAATTTGTATATAATTTATTGTAAAATATAATCTACATATGCAACAAACGAATTATCTATCGTTCTACTTTGTAAAAAGTTAATTTA